ACTTTAAGAGTGTGCTTTCATAGTTTCATTCGCCCAAATGTTACAGAAAAATAAAGTTCGTACGTTGTGTGTGCGCGCGTGATTTAAATGATAAAAAAAAAATAACAATCTAGTTCATGATAATTATGTACTTTACCTTTTTTTTCCTCTCTATCACAATATTTATTCTTTTTCGTTATTTATTACGTTAATTTACTTATAGACGGTTAAAATCATATGACATGACATAATTTATTACTCAATTAGTTCTGTGCAAGCGTTAAATTTTATGATTAGATTGCATTATGTATTTTAAATTTATTTAAAAATATTGTTATTTGTAGTTTTTATCTTATCAAAATTTTATGCTGCACAAAATTCCAGAAGAAAAGGGTGTGTGCCGAAACGATAAAACGTCAAAAAGCGTGCTGAAAACCTAACTTTTATTTGGTTGAAAAGTTACATATATGTGTTTTGATATAGCATTTAATATTTTTTATGAAATATCTTCTCATATTTTGCATCTGTCTATTCTAGACCTGCAAGTATAATCTCATGGGTTCCATCCCAACGGTGGAACATCTCTTAGATCTTGGTAGGATTTAGTATTAGAAAAAAAAAAGGTAAAATGTATTTAAAAAAGGAGTTGCATTTTCTCATGCAACATGAGAGCAGCTTTTCTCCTACACACAATCAAGTGGGCCCACTAGTTTAAATAAAAAAGAAAAATGAAAGAAAATATTAACACGGAAATCGAACTCTCACTAATATGAGAGATCACTATTCCTACAACATGAGATTTATTTATCCCTTTAAAAAAAGAGGCCAGCCAGCAAGCAAATTAACAAACAAAATATGTTGAATTTTCTCCGGTACTATTTTTTAAAAGAATTTAAAGTCTTAATTATAAATTTATTCTGAACATGATTGTCTCCCGCAGAGATGGAGGATATTTGCGGTTTATCCAAATATATATATATATATATATATATATATATATATATATATATGTGGAGGGACAATTTTTTGTATCTCGGTATAATATTAGTCTTAGTTTAGCTTATTATAATACTAATACTAGTAATTTTATTACATGCTTTTTGTTAACAGCTTTTTTTGGACCGTGTATTTTTTTTAAATAAAAAGGCATAGAGATAGGGAGACTTTTCTTAAAATGTGTGCTTTTAAGCTAAAAAATTTAGGTTCCTTTTTTTTACGGTCTACGTAATGTAGATAACTTATTTACATTGAGCTCAAAACGACATCGTTTTGAGGTAGAAATAATAGTATTTTTGTAATTATAATTTATTTCAAGGTTATAATAGTCTTTTTCATTATAATTTTTTAATTTTTTAACCCAAAACAACGTTGTTTTGAAAGAGCGAATATAGATAACTTATCTACATTCAATGTAGAAATATTAAAACCAAAATTTTATGTAGTCAGCTAACAACTTTTAGTTTTATTTTTTAAACTCTTTTTTAGTTTTAACTTAAAAGTAGCTCTACCTTAAAAAAAATCCAAACATACTTATGAAGAGAAATAAACTACTCATTTTTTTAATATAAATTTACATCAATGTTGTTTAATTTGTAAAAGTTTCTCTTTCACTTATATATAAATTTAAGATTTCTAATCAAATTAATCATCACAAAAAGTTACCTTTTCCTGGACTCATATCTTATGGGCCCACAACTTCTAGAAATAACACTAAATAAGTTCAAGTTAAAGAGATAAGGATATGAGCTGTTATCCTATACATAAGGGGGTATTTGGTAGATGGTTTTTAAGGAAATAGATGGGTAAGTAAAGATGAGGAGTGGAGAATGATGTGTTTAGTACAGGAGTTTCAGAAATAAAGCAAGGCATTGTGTTTCCCCATCAAAAGTTGAAATCAGTGTAAAATGGGACACTAATCACTGTTTTGGAAGACCTCCTTCGAGGTGGTATCCGGAGAAAACTAAGGAAGTCATATTTCATTCGTCAACTTTGTTACAGAAATGCCCCTCTGCAATCAGCTTTCTCTTCTAAACCAGGGAAGTCATATTTTTGACGAAGAAACAGTAGAACAACCCACCTTCCAAATACAATATGGAACAAAATTCCCAGCACCTTTCTCCTCTTAAACAACCAAAGCTCCAACCTTTCAGTTGAAACCATATCAAATTCTAAAAAGTTTAACTCCAATTCAACAACCCACTTCTCAGTTGAAGCTGATTAGAAGGAATCCAGTGGAATAAACAAAAACCCATCATAGCAAATAACTTAAGAAAGAGGGAAAAAATGATGGGTTGCTTCAGATAGAGTCAAAAAGCAAGAACAAGCAACTCAAGAGGGAACTTGATCAGATATAGAAAGCGAAAGACCAACGACTTAATTGGTCACCAAATGCAATTTTAGAAGTAAAAAGATGCCTTGCACCAGCATAGTGATGCCTTCACGGGTACAACGTCTATTTGCTCAGTGTCTTTTATCATATTCAGGGGTATTTTCAAAATTTTGTCAAATTTCCCCATCACTCTTTTACTTTCAACCAAAAATAGTCTCAATAAATTTATGACAATTTTCTGGTAATATTTCGTTCTACCAAACAACATTTTTCAAATTTCCCCACTTATTTTACTTTACAACTATTTCCCCACTTATTTTGCTTTACAACTATTTCCCCACTAATAATATTTACCTGGTTAAAAAAAATTTCTCCTATACCAAATATCCCCTAAATGATAAGCGATAACATGGCTTATCTTATCCCTCAACAGTTTCACTGCTATTAGGATTTTACAAAACTCCTTTTATAAATAAAAGACTAATCTCTTGCTTCTAACTATGTACACAACCCATACCTTTGACTATATTCTATTACTATTGTGCTAAGTGATCCGTTATCCTATGTCTCTTCCATAGACTCCTGAATATTGATCAAATATACAAATATTAACCTTCATATAGACCAATGTTATTAAAATCGAGATCTTAAGTAAAATCAGAAAGGGATTACAGAATCATAAAACGTAAAATCGTAATATAAAAAATCGTAAAAACGTAAAAGTGTTTGGAATATTAGTAAAATCGTTTTGATGAAAAAAATCGTAAAAACGTAAAATCGTAGTGATAAATCGAGATTTTAACAACAATGATATAAACATTCTCGATTTGAAAATATTTTTTTGAGATAAAAAATCTTATAGATTTTAAAAGACTATTTAGAATTAGAAGGATTTTAAAGACTTTTCAAAAGACTTTTTTTACAATCAAACTTTCTTAAGATTGGATTTTAAAGGATTCTAATAGAATTTATAAGATTTGAATAGACAACATGAATTTATAAGAGTTCAAAAAACCATATGAACTTTTAACAAACCTTCAAAATTAAAGGAGTCAATAAAAAAAATAACAAAGAAATGCAATGATATTAATAAAAAAAAAGTAAAACCTAATATAATTTTCTCAATCAGTAAAACATAATATGATTTTTAACAAACATTCAAAATTACTAAGTAACAGCTCTTCGCATATCTAAAGCTACACTAATCCTCTACGCATTAGTATTTTCTAGTTCTTGCTCTTGAGTTTGATCAATGGATTAAAAATTATCTTCTTCATTTGGAATCAGAGTTATGCATATATGATTATATAACCCAATTTTTTATTGATTAAAATAATTCTAAATTTGCATATAGAACCTAAAGTTCATGATAAAATTTCGTTTGGAATTTTTTACAATTGATCTTGGAAACTTTGGAGTTTTTGATCTACGAGATGAGAGTTTTCTAATCATATATTGTATGCATGTTTTCATTGAATATTCTAAAAAAATTCCGAATCTAATTTTTTTGATTTTATTACATGAAAGTTTATAAAATTTCTCAAATTATTTTCAATCGATACATTGAAATCTTAAATTGCTTTGGGGCTTTTGAAAAACAAGTTTTTAGTTATCTATTGACACAAAAATTGTTTGAAATCGTTTCATACAGCGAAGGAATTTCGTTCATGAATGTATTGTTACGAAATATAGGGTTCATATTATGAAAGTTTCAATCTTTCTTTAAATTGATATTGTTTCATTGATGTAAAACAAAATTTGGTTTGATGATTTTAATTCTCCTATTGTTTTATATTATTTTTAATACAATAATCACATAATTTTGTGTCAAGAAAAATCGTGACTCGTAACTTGAAAAATAATTTTTTAAATTTTCAAAAGCTCTAAAAGTTGCTCTAAAATCTGCTATTTTTAAGGTTGATTATATTATATTCTTGTTGGTTCGTTGTTTCTAGGTTGTTTTGTGATGAAAATCACTATCAAATTTGCTATTTTTGAGCTTTGACGAAACTCTCATGGCAGAACACGGTCTCGAGCATGTCAATCCGCCAAAGAAAAAAAAAAGACACTACGATAGAGAAATCTCAAGAAATTCTTGGAATTAGGATGAGATTGTGAGAGAGTCATACTATTTATATTTTTCGCTAAAAAGTCTCACGAAATTCATACCAATAAAAATTCTATTAAAGTCGTAAAATTTTTTATTTTTGGAAACAATCGTCAGATTTTTGAATACCACAAAATTGTTTTTTCTTTATTTAAAATTCTGATTGAATACCAACGGATTCGAATCGACTGTAAAATAATCTTTTAAAATTCTAATTGAATGACTTTTTTTTTTAATCTTTTAAAAACCTAATTGAATACTAATGAATTTTTTATCCAAAAATAATTCATCAAAATTCTTTAAAATCTTAATCCAACACGCCGCGAGATATTTCTTCAATTTCCAAAATTATCGTTGTTTGATTCTCGTACACCAGCTAGATCTTACAGCCGGGCCAACTAAAAAGAAAAAGAAAAGAAAAGGGGCAATAAAAGCAATATAATATTGTCGTACAGTTTAGTATTATATATACATGACCCCTTGGTGAGTTATTCTTAAAGAATTCATCTTCTCCTAGCTTTATACGCATCTTATAGTCATAAACCCTATCCCCTGCTTCGCTGAGAAACACTAAGCCAAACAGCAATGGTTAAAGATGCAAAGTCTCTATACTACGGTGTCAATGGACACCGAAATGATTTTGATCCAAGTGCTCCTCCACCATTCAAGATTGCAGAAATAAGAGCTGCCATTCCAAGCCATTGCTGGGTCAAGAACCCTTGGAGATCTCTTAGTTATGTTCTAAGGGATGTCTTAGTAGTCACTGCATTGATAGCTGCAGCAATTCACTTCAATAGCTGGTTTTTCTGGGCCATCTATTGGCCTGCTCAGGGAACAATGTTCTGGGCTTTGTTTGTTCTTGGACATGATTGGTAATATATTACTTATCTCAATTTTGTTCCGAGTCTTACTCATTGTTGTGTTATGCCTCCTCATTGACTTAGACAAATTACTTGGTTCTGATCTTTGTATTGAACAGTGGCCATGGAAGTTTTTCAAACAGTCCCAAGCTGAATAGCATTGTGGGCCACATCTTGCACTCCTCAATTCTTGTACCATACCATGGATGGTTGGTTGGTTCTTATAGCAGCTTTTTTTTGTTTCTTTTGTTCATTTTGTCCTTGAAGCTCTTTCCTTTACCAAATCTTAAATCTAATTTGACAACAACATCACTTTTACTATAATGGGTTTTGCAGGAGAATTAGCCATAGAACCCACCATCAAAACCATGGACACATTGAAAAGGATGAGTCATGGGTTCCAGTATGTGATTGCTTCTATAATTGCTCTTAATTCAATTATTAAATAGATGCAGTAGGCCCAAAAATGGGAAAAAAATGCAAACTTGATTAGGTTGTTCTTGACTATATGTGTCTTTTTCTGTGTCATTATCTCAGTTGACAGAGAAGATTTACAAGAATTTAGACAGCATGACAAGACTCTTTAGATTCACTGTGCCTTTCCCCATCTTTGCTTATCCCATTTATTTGGTGAGTGCTTTAAAAGCCCCTAATGAGATATAGTTCAAAAAATTGACTCTTTTTCTTCTTTTCTTTTTTTATTTATTTATTTTTTTCTGATCTGAATTGCATTTCAGTGGAGAAGAAGCCCGGGAAAGGAAGGGTCTCACTTCAATCCCTATAGCAGTCTGTTCTCACCCAATGAGAGAAAAGAAGTGGCAATTTCAACATTGTGTTGGCTTATAATGTTTTCTCTGCTTCTCTATCTTTCCTTAATAACTAGTCCACTTCTAGTGCTCAAGCTCTATGGAATTCCCTATTGGGTAATCTCAATCTTATATTGTTACTTTTACTTCCTTTCCCTTTTTTTCACTCTATAACTGAATCAGTTAATACATGTCCATGGGTTATTTACTTATTTGAACATGCACAGATCTTTGTTATGTGGTTGGACATTGTCACGTACTTGCATCACCATGGTTACAAGCAGAAACTACCTTGGTACCGTGGCAAGGTAAAAGATGAAGTTGATTCTGTCCCTTCAATTCTTGAAGTTTGATATTTTTTGTTTTTGGTAAAAGGAATTAATTTAGTGGGACAATTGTTAATGAAATTGTAAGCTCAAACTCTTGACTTTCCTTCTCCTTATATCCACCGACTTTAATGTAAGATTTTAAAAACAAGAAGTAAATGCTTATGGAGAGATGTACTTTTGCTCTACCTAAAAAAATGTGTGGCAACTTGCTCTCTGACAGGGTGTTACTATTAATGTATACAATTTGACAGGAATGGAGTTATCTAAGAGGTGGCCTTACAACTGTGGATCGTGACTATGGTTGGGTTAATAACATTCACCATGACATTGGCACCCATGTTATCCATCATCTTTTTCCTCAAATTCCTCATTATAACTTAGTTGAAGCGGTACTTTCTACTTTTTCCCTATAATCCTAAAATGCACAATACACATATTTCTTTATCTTTTCTTAAGAAAATGATTGTCAACAGTTTTTTTTTTTTCCCATCTTCTATTTATTGCCTCTCTTTTTTTAACTTACTGCAGACAGAAGCAGCAAAGCCAGTTCTTGGAGAGTATTACCGTGAGCCAGAAAAATCTATGCCAATCCCAGTGCATCTAATAAAGTACTTGTTAGAGAGTATTGGACAAGACCACTTCGTTAGTGACAGTGGAGATATTGTGTACTATCAGAGTGATCCTCAGCTGCACCTTTATTAATGCAACTGTACTAATGGATTCTAGCCAGTCAAAATACTTATTTATTTCTCACGTTACATGTTGGAGTTTAGGGTGTGGTTCTTGCTAGCTGGACACATGACTTAGCATCTATTTTCAGAGTCGTGGGACTCGTGATTAATTCATTTGCTACATGGAGACAAGAATATAGTTGGCTTGATTGGAATATTATTTGAAATAAGTAAATAAGGTAATAAATATTGCCTTGTCAGCTTCATTTGCGTTGTTTTCTATCATTTTCACAGAGCATTCGCTTCAACAATTCACACTAAAATGTCAAGGGGATTCCATAACCTAAGGGAATGGACCTAAACTCAATAAAAAAAATTCATTCTAAATGAGCCTCACGCTTAGGTTGAGAATTAAATAAATATATTGTGCTTGCGAATGATATTCAATACTCCCTTGGTATTGAAAGATTGAGTATATTTTACTAATGTAACCAATTTTTTTTTTTTATTCTACCTACCATTTTATGGTTATTGGCACCTATGTTTATTTTTAATAAAGAAGCATATATTCCATAGCATCGAAAATATGCTATATGAGATAGAGTCTAATGGGCTCCATTAAGGCATGAGACAAATATATTCACCTAATATAGTTAGAGTGATAAATATAGAGAAATATGTTTCTCATATTATATGTCGTACAACATATAAAAAGTGGATGAAACTCTTTTTTTTTTTTTTCTCTTTTTGTTTTATAATGCATTTTATTCATTTTTTTATGTGTTTTATGAGCCTAATGGATTTACTGCCCCGTTTATGGGTTTAGAACACATTTCTAACCATCTCTCTCCTCCGTTACTATGGTGGTGTTAAACTGTAAACAAAATAATGACATACATGTGATGACATTGTAATTTAAAATATAATACAGCATTGCCATAGATAATATTGGAATAAAGTTACTAGTATTTCAACCAGATATAGTGCTTCAGTATTGAAGGTTGAGGTCCTGGGTGTTACCTGCAGAGTGTGCAGGAAAGGACGTAACAACGACTATTGAGGGCCAAGTACCGTAGACCTGTTGAATGGCTAAAATGAACATAACCCAATTTCGTTAACTGAATCAAGTAAGTGAGCAAGCTTACCATCGATGTATTTCAAACAATTTAAGGGCAAATTTTTTCTTAGCCGAACATAGCAGAAAGATCATTTATACCGATATTGACAAGATATTTTTAATTGAAAAGGGAGATACTATAAGCATTTTATTAGTTATATATGAACGTTCGAATAAAAATACTTGCATGCATCAAAAACCTCGGGTTCGGCGAGGAAAATACAATGGGGAAATGAATATTTTTTTCCTGCACTAACATAGTAAATTGTGCCTCACTTTTTTCTTATTTTTTTTTTCATAAAATGATGGGACCCATTGTTTCTTTGTATCAGCAGGAAGTTGGGCAATTTTCCAACAAAAAGGAGAAAAGCAAATCCCTCCTTTTAAATATGAAAAATTATTAGTGATTTAAAAAGATGTAAGTTATATGTTTTTAGTTTTTTTACTCTATATATATATTTTTCCAGTAGTACATAATTATAATATGAAAAAAAAAAAAATTTCTCTCCTCAATCACATTAGCTGATGTGAAAAGTAAAAAAAAGCACTTTTTTATGTTATAACTATGTACTAACAAAAGTACATAGAATAAAAACCAGAAGTATCTTCCCTTTGCAGCTAACTTAACAACAACAAAAAAGTTTTGTTTAATTTTTTTTTTTAAGAAAAAAACATGGTGTGAACCCCACATTTTTTCTCTATGTAGACACTAATTTAGTTTTTAATATATCTTTAGATCTAAATTTAATTCTCAATTTGATGAAATGACCATAATAAAGACAGAAAATCAAACGTAGTCGATTGGCATGTGAACCAGAACCATGCGTGTTTTTTTTTTTTTAAGAAACCACGCGGGTATTATTTATTTCCAAAATGTAGTCCACAAAAGCAAGTGAATTAAATAATAATAATTTACTTTTATACAGTTCAAAAAAAATTTATAGTAATATTACATTATTAGGCTATATTGCTTTTTCTGTAAAACCAAATGAGGTGAATAATTGAGAAATTACTTATAATTTTCCTGCAAAATATATTATGAACTGTTCACTTCATATTTCAAGATATATACCAAACTAATTTTAAATTATGAAAAAATTGCACTTGTATCGAATGATGTATTGTCATATTATTTAATTAGTTTGACAACTCGTATAGTTACTAATTAATCAAACTTATTACATAAAATATTAACATAAAATTGGGTGATGAATTCTAAAAGTTGGACAAGGATGCGAACATCATCCTCTTATTTTATTTCATTTCAAAAAAATTATCTAATTTTGTAAATTTATACTGCAACTTTTAAGCTTTGAATCAATGCATATTGGTCAAATGTTTCCAGGCCCTACACCAAATATCCTCTTAATCCCTTGACCCAATCCACGGCACAGATTAATTAGCTCAAGATCCATCACCACCAACCCAAGAAGACTCTTGCTAGCTCAGAGCCATGACCCACTAGTTTAACCCATAACCTAAACTCGACCCATGTCCACCCCACACCCCTTTACCCATCAGATTCAAGTCTTTCACAGACTCAGCTGTTTGATAAAATATAAAAACTGACAGATTATTGGTCATGTATATATGCGCTGTTGTATGTGCCTAGAATAAATACTGGTTTCTTTTGCTGCTTTTGTGCACATTATCATTTGCTTGAGTTGTATCATATGACGTCTAAACTTATTTGAGAGTTAAATCTGAATTGAATATTAAGCTTTTTTTAAAAAAAATATTTCAATCAGTTTATCCCTTTCCAACTAGTGACGAATCTCAGGATTAAGATTTTAAAATCTTCCCAAAAATAATACGGAAAAGAATCGAACATATGTTTTCACTCTTATCTGCCGAGTTCTATGGCACCATATTAAGCTTGTTTCTGACTATGTGTTTCCATGACTCTAAAAAATGTGTGGTTTCATTCCTCTACTATTAGTATTGCTTAAGGTTCTCGGTTACTATGTTATGTATTGACTGTATCAGAAAACTATTATCAGAGGTTACTTGTTGAATAAATGCTTCTTCTTTTTTAGTATAAAGGAATTCTGTTAATCTGTCACTCTATTTGCATTCCTTCAATAATAAAATAAAATTCCTATAAGATGTTCAGGACTGGTTGTTAAATGTTGTTTACTCTACTCTATTGTCACACTGGAAGGTGTTTTTTCTTTTTATTAGTTTATTTTGAAGCCTTTGAATCTGTCCATTTTAGCCAACGGACTGTACTTAAAATATTGGTCGTTTACTTTATGTGATTTAAGGGCTGTGCTGGAACATGTTCTATTTTCTTGAGGAAGATTAGATTTTAAGTTAAGGGCCTAATTTTAGGGGATACATTACTTCGGGCAGCATGGTGTTAATTATAAAAAGAAATAATAAAATGTCGAAATGTATTTTAGTTAAGTATTTTATTTTGCCTTATTTTCTCATTGACGTTTGTGTCTTGTTCAAACACTTTTAATTTAAAATTAACCAATTCAAAATTTGTCATGTTGTAAATTTAATTTAATCTTTATCGAAATTTGTAAACATTTTAATTAAATGTTTATAAATAGCTTTTACTTAGTTCTTTTTATGCTTCTCCTTTATTTATTTAATTGAATAGGTAAATAAATGTTTCTAATATTATTATAAATTTGCATAAATAGCTTTATAGTAGTTTACACCAGATGTATGAGAATTGCAGTAGCATTCTATTGCATTTGTTTAAGAAAAAAATGTTTATCTTTTAAAATAATACAACTTATATATTTTCACTCTCACAAAGAGATGAGACCCACATCTTTATTTTTTTTGTCAACTCTCTCTTTCTTCCTTTATTTATCACAACTTTACCTACTTTAAAATGACACAACTTTTTCTCGTAAAATGACACAACTTTACCTCCTTTAAAATGACACACACTTTATCCTTTGTTTAATGAGTGAAGATATTCTAACTACCAAAAACTCTTGTTACTAACTTACTACCCATTACATCACCATTGGAGATCAAAGAGAGATAATGTTAAAAAGTTTTTGAAGAGAGAGAAAATATTAATCTAATGGTAATTAGATAAATAGTAAGTTGGTAGTAAAAAATTTTAGTAGTTAGAATATCCTCCTCTTTTTAATATAGATAAACACGTTGACAAATGTTCCAAAGCAAGATCTTAACTAATAATAGTTTGCTGCACTTTTATAGTTACTTGTAATAGAAAACATTGAAAAGAAAATATCAAACCTGAGTTAGTGAGATTAAGGGGTGTTCATAACAAAAAAAAAAAAAGGGTGTTCATAACTCAAACTGTATTCAAAATCGTACCTATTTCAACCATTGGCGTAGCTCCTTTGGTTTAGTTTGAAATCCAAATTCTTAATTCACTTTCTCAGGTTCTAAAGTTCTAAAAGTTAAACCAAATTAGGAACTTCACTTATGTTTTTTCTTTTTGTGACGTGGGAAGAGTTTTCAAACTTTGGAATAGGAGGATTCTACCATGCTTACTTGTGAACATTGGTTGAAAAACCATGATGTTACCTGTTATCACAAAAACACAAACATTAAAAGCATTTCAAAACACATTCCATTTAATTACAAAACAAAGCAGATGCAAACACAGTTGCCAGGTTTCAGTTGGTTGGTGGGGACTGGTGACTCTTAGAGGCAGCAGCATTGTACTACTATACCATTATTTACCCTTCCCTCCCCTCAAAAGCAAAATAGTGACTATGTTGGAAGAACCACAACCAAAAGTCAGTATCTTCGGCTGCAAAACCCAAAAGAATTTTTTCAGGCCACTGACATTACCAGTTACCCTGACCTGAAAAAAACAAAACACATTCTGCCAATGTCCCTTCCTCCACACAAAACTACAAATTATAAAATCACTGCCTTGCTTAGACCTTACAACCTGATTTTCCTCTTTAACACACCCCTCAGTATCCATCATCAAAGTCAATAATGCTAAAACCATGTCTAAATGGCACACTCATTGCTCATTTAGTAATTCTTTAAACAAGGAAGTAAAAGTGACACCTTAACGTGCCCCAAGGGAGGGCTTCTGTTTGCTCCAAGCAAGGAAATAAAGGACAAATTTAGCAAAAATGTGACTTGTCAATGACCAAAAGCAAAGCACCCCATTCTTATTTACTTGCTCCTCCTCACATATTCAAATGCAAAGCCCGCCAGCCTTCTCTCTGATATAGCAAAATTCAAATCATACTTTTGATTGCTCATATCCTATTGCTTTTTTTCTCTTTGGAGAGTTTAAGAATCCCAAAAACAAAAAAAGAGAACCCATTTCACTTTTTCGATCTTTCTTTTCTCTTTAGCTGTTTTCTTTGTTTACTAAATCATTCAACATGAAGCTCTTGACATCATCTTATTCATCATCTCCATCATCTTCATCCACCCTCAGTTTTGACCCAACTTTGTGCAACTCCAAAAGTGCTACTGCAGGGTGTCTCACAGCCATCTTGCGCAGGATTCTCTGCTCTGGTGGCCTTCAAACACAACCATCAAACACAATCAGAGAACTTGATTCAATGTCAATGGCGAGTGGCAATGTTCATGAATTGAAGGGTAAGCAAAAGACAGAAGCTTCTACTACCACTGCTCCTCCTGGGATAGTGGCAAGGTTAATGGGTTTGGAGTCAATGGGTGAAGCAAACCCAAGTTCACTATCACGTAGCCGATCCATGAACTCTGTGAACTACTTGGGGGAATGCAAGCGAATGCAGGGTCTACATAGGCGTGTTAAGTCTTCATCATCTTCGTTTTGTGAGGTGCCAACTTTCCACTTGCTTGAAAATGAGAACTTCTTGGTGTTCAGCTTCGAAAATGGAGGTGAGAGTAAAGAATTCAAGTCCAGAGGGAGTAAAAAAGAAACGAGTTCTGCAGAGTCGAAGCAGAAACGAGAAGAGAGACGCGAGTTAGAGAAAAACAAGAGAAAAAAAGGGCATGTTGAGAAGGAAAACTTGAGCAGAAGGGTGTCTGATATGTCTTCTGTCAATGTTGGAAATGATGTTAAACTTGAATTTGCTAACACTTTGCCTCTGTTCAACGTTTCTTCTGAAAAGGAGCACATGGATTCAGAAGCACTGAGATTCTCACAGCCCGTGAAGAGAAATGAAGTTACCAATGCTGAGAAAGTGAAGAAGAGAAAGAAGGGAACAACCTGTTACAAAGAAAAGAAGGTAGAAACTGAATGTAGTTCAGAAGATTCAAGCCCAGTTTCTGTCTTTGATTTTGAGCGTGAAGCTTCTGGAACAGGTTTGTTTCTTTAATTTGAGTTCAACTTTTCCTTTTGTGGCTACAGTAGTTGTTTACGTTGAGATATATAAAACCATTAATACAGCCTCACTCAACAGCTTAAGCTTTTGGGTTGAATTGATTCTTTACATGGTATCAGAGCCTCGTGTCCGGGTTCGATCCTCGCCGCCCCCCACTTTCTTTCAAGTGGAATTTCTTTGTTCGCACAGGTAGGTGGGCCTGTGCATTGTCCACCCTTTAAGCTCAGTGGGCTCTCGTGTGCGGGGATCTGTGCATTGTCCACCCTTTAAGCCCAGTGGGCTCTCGTGTGAGGGAACGTGTTGAGATATATAAAACCATTAATATAACCTCACCCAACACCTTAAAATTTTGGGTTGAATTGGTTCTTTACGGTTTATATAGCTTTAGATCCATCGTGTAAGTTCAATAAGTTTTTTTTTTTGTGTTTCCAAGTTTTACATTTGCTAATTTATTACACATAAACTGGTTGCAGAGGTAGATTCTTTTGGTGTTAGTATGAGTTGGAGAAGAAAATTGTCACCAGAGCTTGAAAATGACCAGCTCTTTACTCTGCATTCAAATAGTAATTTGATGATTGAAGAAGGGAAGGTTAAGGCAATTGAGAACAACAAACATGAAGAATCTAAGAAAAAAGAGAAGCAAAGCCAAGAGTATGTAGATATTTGGGGTGAAATTTGCAGGCTTGCTGAAGATGAATTGGTTGGATCAAGTCAGTTAGAGGAACGAACGAAGAAACAAGGTGATTTTGAAAGTGTAAGTGCTGATTTTGAGTCAGAAATTTTTGATCACTTGTTAAATGAGCTTATAGATCAACTTGTTGAGAACCCCTTGAAAGCATTGCAACTTCAGAATTTGTAAAGCAAGGAAATTAATCAAGTGTAAAAATATTTCGATTCTCCCTCTTGTTCTTTCTCAATTCTAATTCTGTCTCTATCACATAGTGCACCAAGGAAGATTTTTCATCTTTATGCTAAGTGTTTTGATCATGCTTTATCTACAAAATATGATACATTGCACGAGACCATATTGTGTTCACAAACTCGGCAAGTGCACCGGTCGTACAAGTAATAAAGTGATAAGAAAGTTGTCGATCCCACGAGAACTGGTGACCAAGCAATAATTTATTTATTTAACTAAAGTTGGATCGATCATTAAAGGTTTTCTTGAAAATATTGTGATTAATTCAAAAACAGAATTTGTAAACTATTTTTGATTTTTAATATTTTTAGAAATTAAATTCAGAATTTAGAATAGTAGAAATTGAGTTTAGAATTTTAATAAAAAGACGTAGTTATGATTCAACTTTCTCAATGGTTTCTTAACGAGCTTGCCTATTCTTACGATTACATTCACGATTAAATTATTAACAGCTCTTTCTATAATTGACTAAATCTCAATCCCTTAGTGATTGGGTTACCAGCTCTTTCTAATCTAAAGCCTAATCCCTTAGTACTTTTTCATAAAATAAGAATTAACGCAAGAACTCACAGTTATAACACTCACAAGTCTATCCCTAGATCATGCAAATTCCAGCAATCAACCAATCAGAATCACATACCAACATCCCTATTGTCATATATGACTTATGTGTTTATCTACGAGTGATCAAATCATAAATAAAACTAATTATAAATATCAGATTGATTGCATAATTCAAAGACAAGAATGTAATTTATAAGAATAAACAAACATCAATTAAGATCCATTGGTTCTGTATCTTCCTAACTACTAAAATAATTTAGTTACTCATAATTATAAAGGTAGAATTAAAATAAGCAATAAAAGAACTTGAGTTCATGATAAAACTTGTCTAAAAGTGATGATAATGATGCAGAAGTGCTTCCTTCCTTCTCCTCTGCAACGATCCAGTGCTCTCTTCCGCTCCTTCTTTCACTTCGTCTCGATATCTGACTTTTTTTTCGTGTCCAGAATAATCCTTCACGGCTTCGTTCGCTTCGTATTTAAAGAGAAAATGTGGACTTTAGTTCCTGGATCTGCTCGCTGAGGAGCTCGCTGAAGCGAGCTGCTTAACGAGCAATTCTTGCTGGTAACCCAATCACTTGCTTTAGCGAGTAGCATTGCGAACTTTAGTGGTTTGTTCGCCCACTTGCTCGCTTCATCGAGCAGTGGGGGAGCGTTACAATTTTTTTTTTTTATTATTTAATTTCTGATTTTCCAATTGCTCCGCGAATTCCACCGTAGGGCTGTGCATGGGTCAGGTCGGGTCAGGTTTTTCTCCGACTCGACCCAACTTGATTTTTATAGGTCAGGTAATTTGACTCGATCCGCTTTAATTTGATCCAAGTCAGGTCTGACTTGGTTTGGATTTTGTTGAACTAGTTCAGAACCGGGTCGGATCTGACCTGACTTGATTTTTGAAGTGGGTCTGATTTGGTTTCTGAAGTGGGTCAAATCTGACCTGACCCGTTTTTGACTTGGTTTCCTCATAAAATTTCGTCGAAATTTCTACATTGCAAACGACGAAAATTTCGACACAAAATTATTTTTTCGTCGAAATAATTTTTGTCAAAAAGCGACGAAAATTTTTCTCTAATGAAAATTTTTACAAAAAAAAAAATTTCTGACGAAATTTACTTTCCGTCAAAAGTTTTGACGCAAATGATTTCTTCCATCAAATGTTTTAAACGAAAAAAGAATTATGTTAAAATTTTGACGGAATATTTTTCGTTCAAAATTTCGATGGGAATGAGTTCTGACGAAAATTTCGACGGAAATGTTTCATCCGAAACTTTCGACGAAAGTTAGATTCTCTAAAGAATTTTGACAGATTATTTTTTTCGTCAAAATTTTTTATTGAAATATTTTTTGTCAAAAAAATTTACGAATTTTTTTACAGAAATGTTTTCCTTTGAAAATTTTGATGGAAATATTTTTTATCAAAAAACTTGACGAAAATATTTAGTTCAAAATTTTCGATGAAAATGTGTTTCGCTAAAAAATTTGACGGAATTTTTTTTTTTGTCAAAAAGTTTAAAGAAAATTTTTTCGTCGAAAACTTTCGCCGAAATTGAATCTGTAAAGAATTTTGATGAAATTTTTTCCGTCAAAATTTTTTGATGGAAATGTGTTTCGTCAAAATTTTCGATGGAAATTGTTTTGAGGAAAATGTTCCATTCGAAACTTTCAACGAAATTTAGATTCTCTAAAGAATTTTGACAGAATATTTTTTCTGTCAAAATTTTTGATCGAAATATTTTTTGTCAAAAATTTTTACGAAATTTTTTTACAGAAATGTGTTTCGTTGAAAATTTTGATGGAAATATGTTTTTGTAAAAAACTTGACGAAAATATTTAGACGAAAATTTTCGATAGAAATGTGTTTCGCTAAAAATTTCGACGAAATTTTTTTTGTCAAAAAGGTTAACAAAAATGTGTCCGTCGAAAACTTTCGCCGAAATTTGAAATCTGTAAAGAATTTTGGTGAAATTTTTTTCCTTCAAAAAATTTCGATGGAAATGTGTTTCGTCTAAATTTTTGATGAATATATTTTTTTGTGAAATATTTTGACGAAATATAGATTCCGTAAAAAAATTTGACAAAAAAAATATTCCGTCAAATTTTTTTACAGAAATATTTTTAGTCACAAATTTAGTTTTTCGTCAAAAACTTTTGCGAAATTTTTTTATGGAAATATTTTTCGTAAAAAATTTTGACGTAGTTGTTTTACGTTAAAACTTTTCTTTTAATGTAATTGTGATTTTCTTTTTCTTTTTTTTCTCATAATGAGTATAGGTCAAGTTTTGGGTCAATGAGTCAATATTAAAACAAGTCAGGTCTAAAACTGACCCAAATAAAAGTGGGTCAATAATTAAACCAGTTCAAAAAATATAGATATTTATGCGACTGGTCAAGGTCGGATCAAGGACGGGGCAAGTGAACCAGTTTTTTTGCACACCCTTATTCCACTGTTGCCTCGTCCTTATCATATTGGTACTTTGTTATCCTAGTCTCAACAACCTGAAACAACAACAAATATTTAGAATCTTATTTATTTGTTGGCAATTCATTCTATTTTACTGTTTTATTGTTTTAACGCTATATTTTTAACTACTTTAATATTTATTTGAACTCTCTTTAGCCATAAAAACATAGTATCTTGGACACTTATCACAGTGTCATAATTCAAAGGTAATTCCCATTACAAAGCATGTTGAAAATGGCATCGCTTCGCCCAATAAACATCCCCGCTTGTGGGTTGCAGCTATCTTTGGCTCTTTACCTACATTAAAACAAGTTTTTATTGGCTCAGGATTTTATTATAACATTGTTATTTACATATTATTTTCTTTGCATTATTTTCACATCACTTTCTTTTTTGTATAATAAAACAAGAAAAAAAAAATCACATCCTAACATATTCTCTTTCTATCTTTATATTCCTAATAAAAAAGAGAGTATAAAGATGATTAAAAGTATTCATGAGAAAATAACAAAGTTTTTCTTAATAGGCACTGTACTTCACAGCACAAGCAAGTCAATTTCCTCCATACTTGGATTTGCGTTCAGTACGCCTTAAAGCAAGTTTGCTCGTGTGACAAACTTGTCTGGTTTCACATTAAACCATTTCTAAATTCCAACAATAAAACTTACTGCCTTAGCTTGCATGCAATCCAACAAATCAGGTTCTTTTATTACTTAAGCTTTGAGTTGAGTTTGAATAAAACCTAAATAGAGTCAAACACAAACAGCTTAGAAGCAGCGTAACTCATTTTTACTCTGTGCTCCTTAAGATATTACAAAATATTTTAGAGGTCTGAACAAGTGAAATTGTTCAATGTCCCAAGGAAAAAAGGTTAATAAAAGCCAAGTGCCAACACATTAAGCTTTTGAGAATGCCTTTTCTTAGTGCTCTATAATCCTCCACATTCATCCCTATGAACCAATGAATGCAAACTTTGGTTGCCAAAAAGCAGCAAGCAAGAGTCCACAAAGGATTAAGTGGAGAGAATATGGAAAATTACTTTAGAAAAACACAAGAAGTTGCTAGCGAACAGCAAAAGAAACTATACTGATTCTCAATCCAAGCTCCAAAATAAAGAAGGTAACTTAAGCAAATGTTAAACTACCACATACAAACAAAATCCTTGCTGCGTACTATATCTGAAAACCGCATCAGCATTTTGGCTTACGGCAATAGATGGAGCAAGGTTACACCATATTTCAAATAGAGGCTCGTTCAGGATGCTGTAAGAATCCCAAAGGCATCAAACTATTATTTGCACACTACAAGTGGCACGCATAGAATAGCAGCATTTAAATAGACAAAGTTAGCTCACCTAAAGCTATAACTAGATTGGACCCACTTATACATTGGTGTATGGCTAAAGGGAAAAAATAAAACTCGCCAAAGTTGACTTATTGCTTATTCCGCTACTGCAATAAGAATGATAACTTGCAGAAAACACATCAAAACATCCTAACAGAATAACACTCAGAATAAAATGAATAAGCCATGAGTGTGTAAAATGCAAATTGAGAATTATCATTTTTAAAATTATTACATCTACAATCTCATTTTATTTATTATTAACCTCAGTACATTGTTGTAATTCAGTCAATGCAAAGTTACAACTTACAACTTACAACTAACAACTCAATAGATAGAATATATAACAAAAAAGATCAGGAGAAAATGGAATCAATTATCCTAGTAACGGAAAGTTGTTGGGGCAGAAAAATTGCATCCTGCCCGACATCTATATTCTCGCCTTGTGAGACTATTTTACCATCGTTTTACATACTGTCATCTAAATAAATTCTATAAAATTCAAAAAATCATCAAATAAATAAACTATTGAGAGTTGCAAGAAGGAGCCATCATTGCATTCACGCCACCATTTGCTCTTGCTCCATGTACAGTTGCTCCAACCAAGCTGGAATCACATCTGTTCCATTGTTAAGGTGGCATTGCAGTTGTTTTTGCTGATCTTCAACACTGAACTGTCCAGATTCCAGGTGTGGAGCATCCTTCACAAGTGAGTGAACCCAAGACACATCTGGTTCATCAACATCTGCGGCTACTTTGGTTGTACCCATCCTTAAAGGACTACTGCTGCTCCGAAATCCAAAAGAAGCAGATTTCCTCAGCTTATTCAGCTCTTCTCCATGTATAGCCCAATCTAATTTTCCATCAGGGGAACCCCAGTCAGAAAAGGTAGAAGGCTTTGCTGCTACAGAGGTAGCAGGAGAAGGAAGCTCATAATGATGATTCACCACACTACGTTCAATGAAGCTCTGGCTCCGCTTTGAAAAAGCAGCAATTCTTGGATTCAAAGCTACTGTGGCTGCTTCCCCAGATGGATCAACCCTAAAAGACGGCGATCCAATCACATTTGAAGTGGAAAGGCTGGAAGGATAACTTCGCAGCTGCTGGTTCACATTTTGACACATCTGGATTCCAGTTGGAGATTGTAACTGAGGTCCTGCAGCATCAAGTGAAATTCCATGGAATTTAGGCAAAATTGATGGATCAAGAGACCCAAAAATGTCTTCAAGTTTAGCAGGCTTCACCCCTGAAAGCCTATTTAACTCCCCGGTATGATCACCCAAAGAAACAGGAAAAGATGGACTATTAGGCATCGAATTTTTCCAGTTGGAAGGGGAGGAAAGACCAGATATCTCATCCATCAACAGTTGCTGCCTACGTAGATGAGTTTCAAGTCCTCCAAGATATTCAATATCTAAATCAATATCTCTAGCAGCTAATGCAGTCTTCAATCTGCTCTTGGGCAGCTGCAGGGTAGGGACAGTAACATTTGATTGAGTCTGCCACATGGATCCAGCCAAAGGAGAAGATCCTCCAGATGAGGTTAAAGGTTGTGTTGATGCAGGTGGTATCAAGACAGATGGAGAACCAAGTGAGATTGGGCTCACTGAACCCATCTCCAATGCAGACGGGCTAGCAGAATATGACCTGGGAGAAGGAATAGCAGAACCAGTAGAAGCATACAAGGGACGAAGCTCCTCAGGCTTGTGAGCAAAGAAGCAAACTCTTCTTGTGCATCCAATCTCATCCTTGCAAAGTCGTGTCCGATACTGGGCAGGGTGCAGCCAGCACTCAAAAATACCATGTGCATACTCACAGGCATCCCCCTTGCTGCAGGATCCCTTCCGAAACTCAGGACAAGGAACACAGCTATAATGATATTTCCTTGGATCACGCCGCCTTGCGTTTTCCCCTGGATGAACAAAGGGGCACTCAGTCCAATCATGAGAATAAGCCCTTGAACATGGCTTCACTTTGAATGTATACATCCTAAACTCATCAGTACTATATATCCCATTCTTTATGTCTGGAAGGGAGAGATCAACAGGATAATCTTTCTTCTCAGTCCCATCTTTTGAAACACGAGGTGTGTTCATATCTTGTCTTTGTTGTTCCTCAATTTGGTCAACCACTCCAAGAAATGTAAGACATGCCTGATCAGCACCATCTTTACCCTCCAGTAGGGCTTGTAGCATCCTCTTCCTTGGATTGAAGATAGCATTAGGAACAGAGACAATCAATTCAAGGGGTTGGTTACCATTGGCATCAACAGCACTAACATCAGCAGATGCATCAAGCAAAAGCTTGACAACCTCAAAGGAAGCAGCAGAAACCCCAGCAACAGCACAATGCAGAGCAGTAGCCCCATCTGATCCACTAGCCCGGTTAACATCAACACGACCTGTTCCAAGAATATAAGTTGTTACACCTAGGCTTCCAAACATAGCAGCTACCATGAGAGGCGTCCTCTCTTCATAACCCACTTTCTTGGAGCCAACCCTCCTTCCATACCACAAGCCAACCTCATCAACATCATGACCCTCCTTTTCAACCGTATTTTTGAAACCAATCAGATCATCTGCAGCCGAAAATTCAAGCAAGGCAGAAATTTTATGATGCAGTCCTTCTCCTTTTCCATACTCATCCTCCATGACAACACCAGTTTGAGAAGGTTTCCTCTTGGAACCACTGCACATGGAGATATCTTTCCTTAAAGCCTCAGCAGGATCTGAAAAATCACAGGAGAGAACAAGTTCAAGATGCTATTGCACCTGGCATGATATTTCAAATTTAAAGCACAGAAAACACAATTTAGTGTAACAAAATAAAAACGGATGAAGATAAAATAAGGGGAATATGCATATGACTGTTGAGCAAACAAACGACCTGGAAAGTTACAAAGTAATGAATCACCAAGAAATTTGCAACAAGCATATGTTTAATCAATAAAGTTTAACTCTTTCAGTTATTTATGGTTATGTACCAATAATTATAAAGATAGCATGAATCCAGACAACAGAAGCAACGAAAAATTGTTGCAAACAGAAATAAATTAGCAAAAACAACCTGTTCTTCATTGCTTTTATGGTGAAAGAACAAAAAAAACATCTTTTTTATAACAGGGTTCATGTTATTTTCCTCCATCAATCAACACTCTCAGGCCAAAAGCCATCATTTTCTGGAATTTTCTTGGCAACCAAGGAAAACGCATTACAGTTTCAAAGAATAATAAAGGTTCATGTACCAAAAAAAATAATAATAATAAAGGTTCCATTTTTAAACACAAATTCAAAGACCCATAAACAAGAAGAAGCATGAAGAAGAAGATAAAACAAGAAGCAATAACAAAAGAAGCATACCTTGCAATTAGACGCACAAAGCAACGAAGCAAAGCTCTGGTTTTTCCTCCCAACTTTTAAACTATAAAACTTGCAAAGCTTTTTAGAGAGAGAAAGAGAGAGTGGAAGACTTTTCTCTTTCCTTTGGGTCAAAAAAAAAAGTGGAACCCACCAAGCTGCCTCATCAGTTACCAATTCCATTCATTCTATTTTTATTAAAAAAACACCAATTGTTTTTTTAATCCCTTAAAAATAAAAATAAAAACTCTTTCATTTGAATTTCCTTATAAACATATTAAGGAAAAACGGATGATTTAAAAAACTTGATTTTTCATCTCAAAATTTCTTGCAAAAAATTCGATGAATAGGTTACAAAAAAATTCAAAAATAATCTGTCAAGCTTTCTTTTTCTCTCAATTGGTTATTAGATAGGAAACAGACTCATTTATTATCGAGAAATTTTGTACGCTTTTATTTGTATAAATAAAAAATAAATTAATAATGAATATCTTATTACTTTATATTAAATAGTTACAACTTACAATATATAACCATCTTACATTTAAAAAATTAGGAAAAAATATTTGTCGACATAGAATTGTAATATTTTAATTAAAATCATTGTAATTTATTTAATATTTAAATTAAAAAAAATTTCTCACTCTCTCATCATGATTTCGATCATGTAACTATTTCTTTCATCAAAAAATACAGTAATTTTTACTAACATAGCACAATTGTATATCATTTGAAAGTAAATTTTTTTTGTAAAAATTATTGTGTTAATTATTAAATAATTTAGTTTAAAAAAATTATATAAATAATATTTACAAAATTTCTCTTTACTGTTACATTCAGTTTCATATCATTCTATTTTAATATTTTAAGAATACACTTAACATTATATTTATAAAATATATCAAATTAAACTTTTTTTGAAAAGCAAACAGGAAACATAAAAACAAAAAAAGAAACTAGGAACACCTCCTAGACCAAACTACTCCTACATAGTCCCTTTCAAGTTTGTCACGACAACCAGAAGGAGGCGAGTCAAACTCTTGTAAAGACCAATCAAAGGAGTAGGCAAAAGAGGCCATCCAATCGGCAACCCCATTCCCTTCCCTATGAATATGGGAAATTCTAACCCTCCAATTCCAATCCAGCATATTCCTTATGCGCAAGACCAAGTTAGAGGCTGGATGATGAGAGCTGCACCCTTCTCTTATGAAAAACTGGGCTACTAAGGAATCACCTTCAAGCCAGACAAAACGAAAACCTTTCCTCCATGCAATCTCAAGCCCAAGGAGACAACCCCAAAGTTCTGCTAACAAAACATTACCACAGCCAAGATTTTTACAAAAGCCAACAAGCCACCTTCCACTAGCATTCCTAAATACACTCCCACAAGCAGAAGCTTCTCCATTATTCATACTTGACCCATCCACATTGAGCTTAACCCAAGGGTCCGAAGGAAAAACCCAAGAAACTAATTTCTCTTTATTTGAGTTAGTCTCAAGACCAGCAACCCGAAGCGTGTTTTCTGACCAAGAAAAATCTTCACCATAGACCATAGCAGCTCTAAAAGTGCCATAAGCAGGAACAGAAGATCCCTGAAAAATTTTCTTATTCCTAGCTTGCCAAATGAAACAGGAAATGATACCAAACAGAAGAGGCCATGATGGCAAATTGGACCAATTACGATCCTCAGAGATATTGGACAACACCCATTGCTGAAGATTAAGAGAGAAAAAATCCTCCCAAGCCTCTCGCTTAACTGCAATCTCCCACACTTTTTTTGCTGCAATACAATCTCTAACCGCATGTAAGGAAGTTTCCGTAAAACAATTGCACAGATGACATATATCTGAACCCGCCATGTGCCGTCTGCAACGCCTTTCATTTGTCAAAATTTTATCTCCTAACAACAGCCAAAGGAACGTACGAATCCGTTCAGGTCCATGCCACTGCCAAACGCGATTCCAAGGTAAATTGGTAGATTCCTCGTTACCCCTGGATATGGCCATATAAGCGGACTTCAGCGAAAAACTCCCATCAGATGTCCTTGTCCACAAAATTCGGTCATGACCATTAACATCCGAAGGAGGAAGGATGTTATTAATACGAGCATTGACGTGATCGGGAAGACTATGCTGGAAAGCCCCCCACATCCAACTTCCGGAGGATGAGACAAGATCAGAGACCATTAGCTGATGATTTATCTGAGAGGGATCAGAAATAGCAGCATAGGATGAGAGTGCACCACAACCCGGAACCCACGGGTCATCCCAAAAATGAGTAGAATTTCCATTACCTAGCAAAATTCTGGAATGCTGTAATATCACAGGCCAAGACGAAACAATTGCTTTCCAAAGAGAGGAGCTATTCCGAGTAGCAGAAATATTAGGAACCAAATCAGACTGAACTTTATACTTGCTCTTTAAAACTCTAGCCCAAAGCGCGTCTGGATTAGAAAGGATCCCATAACCAATTTTCATAATAAAAGCCCTGTTAACTTCCTTCATTTTCCTCAGACCCAGCCCTCCATGATCTTTATCCATGCACAACTGATCCCACGCAACCAGATGAGGACGAGTAGATGCTCTATTAGAACCCCACAAAAACCTCCTAATATGTTTCTCAATATCATTGCAGATTCCGAGAGGAACAACAGAAACTTGCATTGTGTAGGCTGGAATAGCTGAGAGAACAGCTTTCGAAAGTGTAATTCTTCCTGCTAGAGAAAGACTGGTGTGGTTCCAGGCATTAATCCTAGATTGAACTCGATCGAGGATATGACTGAAAGCCGCCCTCCCAACTCTGCGATGATGAAGAGGAATACCCAAATACTTTCCAAGATCCACCGTCCTTGAGAAGCCCAACTCACCACTAAGTTCCTCTGCCAAAATATGATTCACATTGTGGGAGAAGAGAATTTTTGTTTTTTCATGGTTAACCTTTTGCCCAGAAGAAAGACAAAAATCATCTAGCACCTTGGAAATGGTTTGGGCCTGATCAAAGGATGCATCCGCACAAAGAATAAGATCATCCGCAAAAAAGAGGTGAGAAATGGGAGGAGCATTTCTCCTCAACATGATCGGCTTCCAGCACTTTTGCCTAACTGCATGGGAAATGAGATGACCAAGTCGCTCCATACAAAGAATAAATAAATATGGGGACAAAGGGTCACCCTGTCTAAGCCCCCTGGATGGGAAAAACTCCTGAGTTGTAGAACCATTCCAAAGAACATTCATCGAACAAGAAGAAACACACCACATAACAAGATTAATGAGATTTGGGGGGAGTCCCACATCCTGAAGAGTATCTCGGAGAAAGTCCCAGCTAATTCTGTCATAAGCTTTCTCCAGATCCACCTTAATCATCATCCAACCTTTGGCGCCTTTCTTTGACCTCATAGAGTGAATAATTTCCTGAGCAATAATTACATTATCTGTCCCTTGCCTTCCTTTGATGAAACTACACTGGTTAGGCATAACAATTTTATCCATCTGCAATTTCAAACGGTTAGCAATAAGCTTAGTAATAGTCTTATAAATAACATTACAAAGGCTAATAGGCCGGAAATCTTTAAGGGATTGAGGTGAAGTTATCTTCGGGATCAGGCAAATAAGAGTTTGATTAATATCCCGAACTTTTTGGGGATTATTAAACACATCTTTCACCAGATCACAAACAGAGCTTCCTACAGTATCCCATTGAGATTGGAAAAATAGACTATGAAGACCGTCCACCCCTGGAGCTTTGTGAGGTCCCATGGAAAAAACTGTACTCCTAATCTCCTCATTCGAAGGAATGCTACCAATATGAATGTTGTGCTCTTGCACAAGGTGAGGAAAATAGCCTCTAATTGGAAGCCCAGGTCTAGCAGTATTATCCTCTTTAAACAAATTACGATAATACTCCACCGCCATATTCATCAGAATAGAGGGATCACCAATCCAATCACCCGCATCATTTTTCAGAGCATCAATACGATTTCTCCTCCTCCTAGCAGCTGTAGTAGAATGGAAGAATTTCGTATTCCGGTCACCATATTTCAACCAGCTAGCCCTAGACCGCTGAAACCAAGTAAGATCCTCCCGAATATAAATGAGATTCAACTGACGCCAAAGATCTTTCTGCAGAATTTCTAGAGCATGGCAAGGATGGTGACTAAGACTACGGTCAATACCCCTTAGTCTCGCCTGAAGATTATTCTTAAGCTTGGCATCTTCCCTAAAGCACTCCCTATGCCAGTGAGAAGCATTCGATCGAAAAGTTTCACTAGCTGTGCCCCAACCTGTACTCCCATTCCAACACTCCTGCACTAGGCCAGGGAAATCCTCATGAGTGAGCCAGGCTGCCAGAAATCTAAATGGACGGCTCCCTCCAGGATGGTGAGGAGAAGGAACCTCCCAGAGAAGAAGAGGTCTATGATCCGAGCAGTAGCAGGGAAGATGAGTCACAACCCTGTCAGGAAAGGACAATTGCCACTGCTCATTCGCACAAACTCTATCAAGACGTTCCTTCAATCTGCCTCTATGCCAAGTGAAAGTAGGCCCCTGATGACCCAAGTCTTCCAGATTGCAGTTCATAATACAATTTTGGAAATCATAAATACTCCTCCAATCAGGCGGGCCACCTCCCTCCTTTTCTGCTGCATGCAAATAAGAATTGAAATCTCCCAAAATGCACCAAGCCTCCGAGGATTGCTGTTGTAACCTTCCTAGAGCATCCCACAGAGACACCCTTTCAAGACGCCGCGGACTGGCATAAACAAAAGTAACAGCTTCCTCCTTCCTCCTATTACGCCAAAAAATTTTTAAATGGATAAACTGACGATGAGACTCTAAAATCTGAATCTGAGCTTCATCATCATTCCATAACACCCACAGACCACCAGAAAAACCTTGAGGATGAGCCATAACATGCTTTTGAAAGCCAAAGCCTTTCACCACCTTCTGAGCACGGTCAGCTCC